TTCCTCTCAGTGAAAGTAAGGAATATTTTTTTTACAGCAAATTCTATCTCCTGCATTTTCTTTATTCTAAGCTCACTGTGGGCTTACATACATATACTCAAAATTATTTTCCAATGGCGCTGTTCGGCACTGACATTGCCCGAGGGGCAGAGGAATATCAAATCCACATCTGTTGGACATATGTAGGTATGTGTATACATATGTACAATGTATATATGTGCTTTACTGCACTCGCCTATTTACACTACCACAGACAACAAACACATGTGGTCGCATATATACAAAAAAAAAAAACAACACGGATTACACTTCGCTCCTATCTACATACATATTTTCCATTTTCGTTTTTACATAACACTGCGCTTTGTTGTTTTTCGCGTTGAAATTGGTTTTATCAGCAAAACAGTTTTGTCGCCCCGCAGCGGCTGCCTAGAGAACCTAGACCTAGCGAACAAACAGCCGCACACACAAGCATTCAGCCATACTTCAACGGTAATAATATTGTTGACTTCGTAACTTTTTCCACTTCCCAGCTGTCACCAATACTCTGTTATTTTAAGTGCAGCGCTTGTATTGGTGACCGTCAGCCGTAGCACTGCAAAAGTGTGTGTGCTCTCCTTTTTTTCAATGTTCTATCAAATATGCTTTTATTTTTCGCTGTTGTTGTAATTATTGTTGTTATCGCCGCTGGTGTTTAATTTTCCTCGACGGCTCGAGGGCGGCCACATTGCCGAGCTAATGTTGTATTCTTCAAAAAATCTGTTTTCCATTCAGTGCGCTACGGTTGGAGAGTTGTCGAGTCGTTCGCTGATTTACCTACGCGGGTTTTTGTCGCCGCGCGCAAAAACATTTCGTACAAAATTTAGTAATTTATTTTACATTTTTTCTGACTTTCTTTTCGTATTCAAATTTGGCACTCTGAAACCCCGCAAGTACAGTTTTTCTGCTTTGTAATTTATTCTAATTCATTTGCGCATTTCTTATGACGTCTGTCGGTTGTGAGTGTTGTTGTTTTTGTAGTTTCGTCGAAATCAATTGCAATCGTTTGACCACTGCTACTGCCCGCTGACGACGCGCTCCTCCACGACTTGGCGCGCATTGCAACAGTCGGACACTAGGATCGTTTCGATGCTGCCACTCGCCATATTTTGAGGTGTTTGCTCAATTTTGACACCAGTTGACAAATGGTGTGACTTATTGCAGCACGATAAAATTTATAACGGATGAGTTACTTGTTCTCTCAGCCAGGTAACGTTTGAAAATCTCGACGGAATCGTTTGCTCCCGCAGTCGCCAAAAAAGGCGTGTGTTGTTTCGTTTTTTGTTTTAACAATTAGTTTTTCGTTCCGGTTTCGATTTCAGTTGCTGTTTTTGGTTGACTAATTGTTCGTGCAATCGCCATACAGGTAATTAAAAATTAAATGCAATTAGGAATTAAAGCTGGTAGTGCATTGGCGGCTGTAGAGCATAAGCAACAACAGTTGCAAATAGTGTTAAATAGGTTGGAAGAAAATCATTGTTCTGTCTTCTCAATGCCAAGTGCGATTTATTTGTGACAAAGCGTTCGTTGATATTTAATTGGGTTTTTATTGTTGCGCGATAGCTGATTTTGGCATAGGAAGAGTGCTTTTTTAAGATATTTAAGACGGCTGACGAGTGGATTAGTTTAGTGTGGTAAAACAAACGAACTAGAATCTAAACTAAAGACTAAAGCAAAGAACCTACGTCGTTCTGATTTAGGACAGTCTCATTGAAAACTAATACATAGAGTTCAGAATGCTGTGTGGGCCCTTTTTGGGATCAGTCAACTGCATTGCGCTATAGTGCTTCAATGGAGGCTTTTCGAGGTGTAGTAGAACTTTATGATTCGAATCGTCTGGCTAATTTTTTTCATATTCTTTTTTGCTTGGAAAAAAGTTGCTGGTTTTTTAGACGTCAAAGAGAAACTCTACAGTCACATGTTCCTTGGTCGCCCAGTCTCTTCGTGATTTTGTAATGCCTAGCGTTTCTACTTGGCTTTCCTTGGCCTCTTTTGTGATTTTTTTAACTTCTCTGGTAGCTGCCTTTTCGTTAATTTTACAGATTTATTTCAATTACTAGGATCTTATTCTTGCCCTCCAAGGCAGCAGCTGCTACTTTCGCAGACTCTCAGGGACTCGTTTTCCAGAAGTTTTGAGCTAATAACATTCATTATTTTCACTTTCTTATTTGATATATGTCTTAGCAGGGACCGAGAACAAGAGGTATGATCGAAACTAAATGTAGTTCTTGCAGTTTTGTTCGCAAGAAAGCTTCAAAACCAAAACCGATATGAGAACAAAGTTGAGAACTTTGTCTTTGGGAATTCTTTAAGAACTAAACTCTGTGGAACGTCCCCAAAGAGAGCAAATGCGAGCAATACCTTCGGGAACATTTCTAAGAGAACAAAATGGGAACAAAAGATTCTGGAACATTTTGGCAATGAACAAAAAACTGGCACAAAAGTCTAAGGAACTTTCTCTTGAAGAACAATTTGGAAACTAAAGTCTCAGGAACTTTCTTATACATAGAACGAAACAGGAACAAATCTTCTCTGAACTATAAACGAAGAATGGAAGCGAGCACAAACTTTTTTCATAGCGTTCAATTCGTTTGAAATGCTTTAATATTAAAATTAATGAAAAAAGGCCTAAATGATAATTATGCAAATAAAGTTAACGAAAGACTTAAGACACGAACTTTTCTTGGACAGAAACTAAAAATTGTCCATAAACGGACAACTCACACTAATGATAAATAATTTTGAAGTTGAAATAATCCAGCTTTACTCTGGCTCAGAATCATCCCAATACGCAGGCGCCTTAACGTTAAGTTCTTAAAACTATGGTTCTCGTTTTGTTCTCTAGCGGAGTTATCCGAACCGAACTTGGTTACAAAAAAATGTAAAAGTTCGATGTTAATCATTATTCACCCAGTTTTGAAAGATTCTCTTGCATTAAGTAAGATGGTACTATAAAACTATACCTTTTTTAACAGTATTTCAGAAAAGCACAAATATATTTTAGAAAAAGCCAAATGAAATTCAGAAAATACAATTGCATTTCAGTACAGCTCAAATGATTTTCAAAAAAAAAACACAAATGTATTTCAGAAAAGGGCAAATGTATTTCAGAAAAACGCTAATCAATTTCAGAAAAGCACAACTGTATTCTAAAAGTATTTTTCTGAAATACATTTTAGGTTTTCTGAAATACATTTGAGTTTTTCTGAAAATTATTTCAACTTTTCTGAAGTACAATTGTTTTTTTTCTGAATTTCATTTGGCTTTTTCTGTAATACATTTCGCCTTTTCTGAAATACATTTGTGCTTTTCTGAAATACATTTGTCCTTTTTTGAAATACATTTGTGCTTTTCTGAAATACATTTGAGTTTTTCTGAAATTCATTTGGCCTTTTCCGAAATTCATTTGGCCATATTAAAAATGTGTATCTGTGCAATAACAGCTATTTTTTTTGTACATACATACATACATATATGGAAACACCATTTTCTCTGTGTTTACTGACTTATCTAATGAAATCATATGAAACACAAAGGCAATTCGAGCGGGTGCTTTACTACCTTTTACACTTTTTAACCATTTATTGTGGCCATAAAATCGCAATTATTCCGCTTGAATTGCTGTATCTCAACTATGTTTGACTTGTTTGCTTCCTTATCTTATCGCGCACACAAGCAAGGGAACAATCGTACATACATACATACATGCATGCATAGGTAAAAGAGCGCTTCAATTGGGCAACTATGTCCTATAAATACGTTCGTGCTCACTTTGTTTTCATATCGTTTGCATTGTCTCTACATATGTAGCTGTAGCTGCGTATTTAGCACGCGGCCTTATCAGTCGGTAGGCATTTGCTTAACCTTTCGCTTATCAGTTGTGTCTCGTTTTACATTCGCGCTGCCGCCGACACTGAAAAGCAGCTATTTTTCTGTCAACGCATTCAACGCTAGGAGCAAGTATTTATTTTGATTGCTTTGTGTTTTATCATCCTGTTGATATTTGTTTTTGAATTGTTGTCTACGATGTTTCTGGATGTATTCATCTGTTGTAATTTCTTTTGTGCTTCCTCTCCTGTGCTTCATATTCATACAAACATACATACTTATGTATCAGATATCAGATCAGTCTGTACTCATTTGCGCTTTGCAAACAAAAGACTTTGAAAACGAACTTCAATGCATTTCAACGCTCGGTCACTCGCTTATCGTTGGCATCAAAGTTTATATGGATATACATATATATGTATTTAAATATATATATGTATGTGTGTGTGCCTGGCTGGGGCCTGCAATGAGTTATAGCATTTGATTCAGCGCTGTTATTTAGATTTTTTTTTTATTTACATATGTAGTATTTACTCTTGTTTAGCTGAATTTTTAGTTCAGTCAGTTTCATAGAACTGAATTTTTAAAGTTCAACGTCAGCAGAATGAAAAATTAAATTTAACTGTTGACACAGCTGCTTTTGTATTTTGTTCTTATAAATGTACTCCATGTTCGTGTGTGTGTGTGTGTGTTTGCGTGTTTTTTTCACTTTTCCTCCCTCTGCCGCTTTCCGCCCCTAGCATGTCGCATTCGCGCTTTTCAATTCATATCAATCCAATTGTAGCCGCTGCCACTATGGGCTGCCAACTCTGCTACTCTGCTGCTCTGCTGCCTCACCTAACTACATAACAGCGCATTGAAATATTTTTATTGTGTAATTTAGCAATTCAGGTGTTTTCATTTCAGTTCAGTTGAGTTCAGTTCATCATTCAGTTGAGTATTCGCTCATCATTATCGGTTCTGTGGTCAGGCCGTGTGTTTTTGAGTTTGTTGTTTTTGTCGTTGTTGTTGTTGTTGTCGAGGTTTCCACTACAAATTTTAATGTGCACAAATTGATTCAGCGACACAGGCAACGGACCACAGGCGACCGACCACCAACCAAACATAAAACTGAGGTTTTGTTCTGATTTCAGTATCAATTCGAAGCGGTCCGTCCAACGCCCGCCGAATGTCATACACAGCTACTTATTCATATCAACGTATGTACGTATGTATGTAGTCTTGTTAAAGCTTAAATTACAATATTTCTCTTCCTTTCTCTTCCGCTCTTGTTCTCTTCTTACAGCATTTTCAAAACGCTCTAATGCAAAACGAAAAACAGAAAATTGAAAAAAATAACACTAATCGCCAAAACACCCTCTTCGTAGAGCAGGAAAAAAAATAACTTAATCGCTTGTAAAAAAGTTTTCACAAACCAGTAACTGAAAATGTACAGCAAATAAATCATCGACGACACGAGTCACTTACAACTAAGCAAATATACCTACATACAAATATAATCGCATGAAAGCTTACAAATAAAATTTGGTGTTGGTTTTGAAATAAACAACTGATTGAAGTGAAATTATGCGGTCAAGTAAATTATAAAACTAAGTGGAAGGAATAAAAATCGAAAAATATTCAATTAGCTGCAAGTCGCAGTGGTGAAAGAGAGACTCATCCCTACATACATACAAACATATATCCATAACTTTATCCCAATGTAACATATTATTAAAACATTTACTATTTCCCTTAAAAAATAACTGTTAAATTTCAAAAGCGTATGAACCTTGAAATAAGTCTAAGCTTGAGGTGACGGTGCTTCTAAAAATTAGAGCTGAAAATAATTTGAAATAAAGTATTTTATAATAAAACGATTATTTCTTAAAAAACAACAAAAAATGCACAGTCGGCACTCTGTTTCCAAAGAAGATGTCGCTTCCGTGCACACCGACAGCGGTATTTCCCTTTCGTCACCGCCAGCGGCGCGATCAGAGCAAGGCGAGGGTGAGGAGCCGTCAGAATCGGCGGCAAGTACCAAGAAAAAGCAAGTCCGACGACGTGTTAGTGATGTGAAAGCTACAAAAAGGGCACACAAAGGCAAACCAGTATGTGGAAAGGTAGCGCCAGCGGCTAAAACGCAGAAAATAGCGAAATCAGCAAATTCAGCAGCGCACGAAAGCAATTCAGTGCTATCTAAAAATGATTCAGCACTGGCAGCCGTACAACTGGAGAGCCAAAAGGAGCAGGCGGAACATCAAGCGACCAATTCAGCACTTGTTGACAGCACAACTACTAGCATAACATCTAAAATATATGATCCAACATTAGTGGTGGATAAATCTGTAGCAACTTCGGAAAATTCCATTTCCGTTGTCATTTCAGCGTACTCCGAAATAGATATCATACCAACAGCAGCCGATATATCGGACATAGCACATTCAACTTGTGATTCCGCAATATCGGCGGGCGATTTAGCTTCCGTATCTACGCCAGCGCCAGCAACTACGACGACGAAAAGACGCACGCGCCAAACGTACATTTGTCTTGTATGCTCCAAGCAATTTCGTGGCAGAAATGATCTGCGTCGTCACATGCTCATCCACTCCGACGAGCGTCCGTTCAAGTGCGAGCAATGCGGCAAGTGCTATAGACAGGCGGTCAATCTTCGAAATCACATCGCCTCCGCACATGAGAGCCATCGGCAGTTCGCCTGCCCGCAGTGTCCGAAAATGTTCGCTCTGAAGGGCCGATTGCGGCTGCACATGCGACTGCACTCAGGCGAGAAGCCATACGCATGCACACAATGTGAGAAGCGCTTTGCGCGTGGCGGTCATGTATGTAGAAATAGCGCGCTTAAATAATTGTTGGCTGCTGCCAAACTAACACTTTTTATTTTCTCTCTCTTTCTTTGGCTCTCTAGCTTCAACAACACATCATTAGCCATCACAAGGGTAGCACGAAGCAATATGTTTGTGAGAAATGCTCCACCGCCTTCTCGTCGGCCTCAAACTTGCGCGCACACATGGACCGCCACGAAAATGGACCCGATCACTATTGCGAGATTTGCAAGGAACACTTCCCCAATGAGCCGGTACTGCGGGCACACATCAACAAACTGCACTACGAGTTGGGCCAGTTCGATTGCGAGATCTGCAAGAAGACGATAGAGGATGACGCCCTTGCGCATCACATGAAGATGCACACGAATGTTAAGACCCACATCTGCGAGGTGTGCAAGGCGTACTTCATGCAAAAATCGCAGTACAATGTGCACATGCGCATGCATACGGGCGAGCGGCCGTATCAGTGCAGAGTGAGTTATTTTATACGTATGCAAACGAAAGACTTGGGGCGCGAACGCGCTGCCTTAATGTTTGAATCTTAGTTGCTCATATAACTTCTTTATCTTCTCACAGATTTGCTGGCAAACTTTTGCCTACTCGAGCGTCCTGAAGCTGCACATACGCAAGCATACGGGCGAAAAACCGTTCCAGTGTTCGCTGTGCAAGGATGTCGTCGCCTTCTCACAGCTGGCACATTTCAAGACACACATGAAGAAAATCCATAAGCAAACCAATCCCTACATGTGCGAAGGCTGTCAGCAGTTCTTCAAAGTCAAGGCAGAGCTACAGGCGCACATGCAACAGTGTGGCAGCTGTAATGTCGACGTGGAACAGCAGAATGCACAAAATAACGATTTGCAAACGCTCACACACCTACGCTTCCTCATGGCGTTGCTGCTGAAGAAAATCTCATCGCCGCAAAAATTGCAGCAGTTGGGCTACGAGAAGCGGCTAATCGACAATGTTGTGGTAGCTTCGCTGAAATTGGCCAATCGCAAGGCATGCGAGGATCCGGCGTTGTCGCCAATCGCACGTATGCGTCTGAATGTTGAGGAGTTTCTCAATTGGATCGTGCCGGCGCAGGCGATGGAAACATTTCGCCAGGAGCAACAATCAGTGGAGAGCTTATTGGATAAAATTGTTACCATGTACATGAAGCATAAATGATTGTGCGGAGTTTTTTTTTCGAACGGCTGCTATTTGTAGTGAGTTTTTTTTGCTAACAATTTTTGAATGTGCCATAAGACAGCGATGGCGACGCCAGCCATTGCCCTGCGAGCTTTTGCGGCGAATTAATTGACAAATGAATTTACGGTTTAGTTTTTTGATTCCGATTTGAATCACTCTTTCAGAATTTAAGACGCTGAATTTTCTTATTTTATGTTCCCATTATTTGTTTTTTGTTTTTGTATAAGACACCAAAAAGAGCAATCCAAAGATATCTATTTGCCAAAGCCTAAGCATTAATTTAAGTTTCTTATAAGTTATTGCGCGTACATATGCATTGTGCATATGTTTGCGTTTTGTTTTTTGTTCAACAATTATTTGACTGAAGTTTCCCGATTTTGCCCCGTTTTGGATAACGGTTTTGCGTTCTTTCTTAGATATTAGACTAGTCATATCCGCATAGAATTTAGTTGACACACAATTTTCAAAATAATACCAAAATGCTGTATTTGCAAACGCTATCAACTCTTGCCATATATAGGTTTAGATTTACATATGTACATACTATGTGACTTAAAAAGAACCTTAATACTACCAATAATCATTTGTTTCATGAATGAATAAAGATTTGAATTAAAAATAAAAAAGGAGATAATAATTAACTCCACGTATATAAAAGCGAAAAACGGCTAAGCAATGCGTGAATGATGTGGGCGGATCTTGTGAGGAGAAGACTGAACAGATGACTAGATCACTTCGTGTCAGACCCACAGCTCAAGTGTTTCGCTTTCATCAAGGAGAATCATCTGCAACTAGTTGTATAGCATGTCAGCGTTTTTGCAAAAATCTTGTTTCTTTAGAATAAGCAAAGCAGCAGAAAGGACTTTCAAAAATAAACGGGCAAGTCTTTTATAAATTTGTACCAATGCCCTTTTTATAGCTCTTTTATTTACAGTACTAGTATGTGATATCGCGAAACTCTACCATATTTGATGAAAGGAGATTGTGATGTACAAAAAGTGTTTTATAAAATCGCACAAAAGCAGCCGGCTCTGTCTATTTGCAATCAAATTGCACTGTATGGAACAAATACTTGTGGCAAAGAAAATACTGTGGCGTAGTGGTAAGCAGTGCGCGCTTTCATACATCAGCACCTGGGTTCAAGCCCTGGTCAAAGCAACACCGCAAAAAAAAAGGGTTTTTACTTAACAGCGGTCGTCCCTCAGCAGGCAATGGCAAACCTCCGAATGTAATTCTGCCATGAAAAACAGTGGAAGTGATACTTAAATAAATCTTTTGCTAATGCTGCTGTTGTGGGCGATCTAACACCCATACTACGTCCAGTCTTTTCCTTAATAATAATAATAGATTGGCGCTTACACATATGTTAGTGTTTGGCTGAGTCTCTCCTACGATTTGTGGCGTGCGCTTTGATGTTGCCACACAAAGCGGAGGGACCTACAGTTTCACGCCGACTCCGAACGGCGATTGTATTATTATGAGAAGCAGAAATACACTCGGAGGTTTGCCATGACCTGCCGAGGGCCGACCGTTATTAAGAAAAACGAGTAATTCATTTACAATTGATCTCGACCGAGACGAATTTTTGTAATTTTGCTTTTGAATAGGGAAATGGTACCACATTTTTGTAAATAGAGCAAGAAATATTGAATGGAATTTTGTTGATCAAACTTGACCTTTTTTTATCGATATTTTCCACGCCCATAATTAAAAAAAAAATTATAATTTTTAAGTCCATTTCTGTAAGTTTATAATTCTTTGCTGTAAGAATGTTCGAGATATCAATTTTGGGCATTTTGGCTTTTGTAGTTAGTTAAATATTTCAGCTTTTGCCTTTTTAAAAATTACAATTATATAAAAGTTTTTTTTTTGCATAGAGCTTCGCCTATCTTATACCTTACCTTGTGGAAAATTTCATTAATCTATCTGCAATAGTTTTCGAATCACAGAATTGAAAGCACCTAGATTGGCGAAATCTTACACAGTGCGACTGTCGTGATGCCTCGCGGCACCATTCTAGTGCTACTGCATGTTTCCCTAATTCACTTTCTTAATAGAACGTAAGCCTCCTTTTTTGAATATTATTTTACACTTGCATTAACATACATACGCACAAGCATCTGCTATACTAAGGCTTACGGCACTCAAGCATTTCAGCTTTTACATATATATTGATTTAACTGCAATTTCAGATTTAATTGGCATTTCCTTACACTCCGCTACACAAAAAGCGCGATTTTATTCATCAAAATATGTTTATGTAATAAGAAGCTTTAATTTCAACTTGTTATTTAGCATCCGACTAGCGAAGGCGGAAACTGAAAAACGGTCACAATGGTTGACAGGGTTGATTTTCCGTTGAGAAAATTACGAATTAATTTTGATCTACAGTAAAAGGGCAAGGTAATTATAATAAATGAATTTAAATAAAAAAATAAATCCTTCAAAAACAAATGTAAGCTTTTTAAATATACACATTAGGGCTGTGCGATTATTCGATTACTCGAGCAAGTTGGTTAATCAATTATTCGGTTAATCAATAGTTGCGTTTTTTTTACTCATTTCCAGTAAAATCCAGTAAAAGTTTTTACGAATTTTCATGTTTTGGCGTTTTCGTACGCAAAAACTTGCAAAGTAGGGGAAGTTGAGAGAGCGAAAAATGACAGCTGAAGTTGCAAGTTTTTACTGGATTTTACTGGATAAATTTTTACTCGTAAGAATTTGCCAGTACGAAAAACAGCTGATCGCATGTTGCTGGATGAAATTTAAACTAATAAGGAAACTGTTTGTGACATTTTATTGTGGAAATTCACAAAATAAACATATTTAAATATAAAATATATTGTTTTATTAGGAATATGCTGCGAATAAACAACCAATTTATCAGCTGTTCATGAAACTTGCAAATTATTACTGGAAAAGCGTTCACATACTTTTTTGTAAATTTTTTATCTGAGAGCGAATTCTTAGAAGTTTAGTTACTGGAGAGTTGCTGGCAAGTTACTGGATAATTTGTAAAAAAACACAACTATTTACTCGAGTAATCAAGATTTTGATTACTCAAAACGATGATTAATCGAGTTACTTGGAATATGATTACTAAAAAAAAATATTTTTGCTCGTTAAAAGAGTTTGCTTTGGAAAATGTTTATTTTCTTTTTTACATTCTGTATATGAAAAAAATTTTTCGGTTTAATTTTTGAAAACAGAATCGTTTTCAAAGTATCAAGGAACTTTAACTACTTTATACATATGTAAAGAGTTGAAATGTTGATTACTCATTTTACTCGAAATGTTGATTAATCATAAAGCAAATTACTCAAATATTTTTTTTTTTTGTTTAATCAAAAATCTTGATTACTCGAGTAACTGAACCTTTGAGTAATCATAATTTCCAATTAATCGAATAATTGAGTTATTTACTTTATGATTAATTAAAATTTTGGGTAATCAATTAATCGCACAGCCCTAATACACATCTTACAATGCTTATTTACAAAATATATCCAGAATTATTTAGTACAGGGTGGTGAACACCACTAAAAAACAAATTTAACTGCATTTTCAGATTTAATTGGCATTTCCTTACACTCTGCTAAACGAAAGGCGCGATTTTATTTATCAAAATATGTTCATGTAATAAGAAGTTTTAATTTCAACTTGCTATTTAGCATCCGACTAGCGAAGGCGGAAACTGAAAAA